GAGGGAGGAGGGTAGAAAGTCTCGATTACACACTCTGCAGGGCTCAAATCGGAGAGGGGTATCCCCATTCGGCTACAAACCCATCATCGAACAACAAATCTCAACTCATTAATATACTACACTAACACGTGTGAGAGGTCCACATAAAACACTATATTTTTCTAACATTGAATTTTACTTGTAAACTTTCGTATTCATTAAAATCTATGTCAATCATATCTCAACTGATTAAGACATAAAGTAACATTCTTTGTAAGATCAGATATTCAAATCCTCACCCACACCCACTCCCATCCATTCTCGACGATTGAAAAAAAAATCTTTAAAATTCCCAACAAAACTTGTGTATTAAAAAAGGAAAAGTTAGAAAAGATTGAATGAGTAATATGTTAACATCAAAAGGAAAGTTCTGTCTCCTTTCTTGAGGACGAATTAGTTCAAAACAACACATCTCTTAAATCAAAATCAAGTTGGAAGAAGAAAAAAAGATGGTCAAAAAATTTCTTCCATCTCTCAAAAGTGACAAAGAAATGGAAAGGGAGTGTTTTTTTTGGTGGTTAAGTTCATGAATCGACGTCGTATCAATTTGAAACAACTCCAAACAAACGCGTCCCACATAGAAGATCTCAGCAGTTCATCACAATGGCGGCAGCTTTATGTCAAAAAATTCCACACGCTTCTTCATAATCATATATCTTCATCTTATTTGATTAAGACGGCAGAGGATATACTATATATCGTTTTCCGAGTCTGTCTCGAGTCGGGTCGGGAATTTTCGTTCCAATTGATAGCTTGAGAAAATTCGAGGGCGTGAATTAATAACTCTCAACTTTGAATGTAGTTTGAACACACTATATACAACTCGAAAGTTATGTTATGGTCCTATGATGTTGGGTTTTGGCAAAATATTGGAATGAAAGTTTGAAAGAATACAATGATGGTCTCCATATGTTAGGAGTTGTCCCACATCAGATGAGGAGGTGTGTTCCAACTACTATAAAAGGAGTTCATGGGCTTGAGTTTTAATTATCCCAATTGAAATACTTTTAAGTCTCGTATACCAGCTCTAGTTAAGTTTTTACAAGTTAATTGTTGTGTTTCTTTGTTTCATTACTTTCTTTAAATTTCTCAGGAGATTTTTTCCCATCATACGTCACATGAGTGGAAATTAAACATCATAATAAAAGTATAGTTCAACAGATCATAGATCCTTTGAAGTTAACATTGAGGGACTCATAAGTACATTCTATGCATCCTTGCTAATTAAATATCAGCTCGACCAACTATTTAACTATATTAATTAAGGTTTTTAATGTACGTTATAATCGAGCATTATGTTGGTGCAAGGTTCTATTTGCAGGTGATCAGTGTTGAATAAATTAGCGCAGCCCTGATACCACTTGTTGAATAAATTAGCACAAAAGGAAAGAGATAATCACTTGAAGAAACAAACTTTTATTAGAAAAGTATGAATATGGACTCTTTTGATGAAAGACTCTCCCATACTTTCTAACCTTCCTCTCTTTCTTCACTCACTTCATTTGATTCACTCTCTTCACTCGATTCACATGGACATCTCTCTTATTTATATGAGAAAGATCCTTAGGAGCCTAAACAAAAAGATCATTCTAGGCTTCTCCTAAATTTTACATATTCTAGATAATTCTTTATCTATACTTATCCAAAAGATTTCTCTAGAATCCGTTGGAGCCTAAAGAAAAGGTCTAAAATGTTTCTAGACCGGTTTCTTTTAGATATTTATTTACCATCTTCAAGAAAAATCTAGAAAGACTCGCTATTACCCCTAAGAGAAATATGTAGACACTCCAAAAAGATTTTAGATAGTTAGTGTTATATTTCAACAATCAGCTCCCTTGTCTCAGAATCGTTCATTTCAGCTTGCCTACTAAAGTGTCACCTCGATCAAATTCGGGATCGACAATATCTATACTAGGGATCAAATATAGTGTATTTTTTATTAATTGAAAATAAATCATTGTAAATTATTTTTATAATTTCCTTAAACCCGTTTTCAACTTGTATACGCTAATTAAATAATATTCTAAAAAGTAGAATGATGGTGAAATTATAAAGCACTACTTTAATTAGGTGATTGGTCTCTCATTACTTTACTGTTGATTTACTTCACATGCAAGTTAATTAATCCAATAGAATTGTGGTTGTGGTATTAGACATTACAAAAATGTGAGGACTCATAAATTATTTTTATTTTTATTTTTACATTTAAAACATTTGTTTTTTGAGGATTTTTTTTAAAAGAAAAACTTTTAAAGTACATCTTTTAGGTACCTTATTAATTTTTCAAGTAATTAAGTATTATTACAATTTCTTTTCTTGTCTCTCTCTTTTTTTTTTTAAGATACCAACCATTCCAATAAGAGGTATGTGAGTGTAGAAACAAGGAAACAGAAAAACATGTTTGGTAATCCTTTGTACAAATTTGGTTAATCAATTTTTTTCTTATATAAGTGTAGAAAGATAACAAAAAAAAAAAAAGTAATGGCCTGTTTGGTACGTAACATTCTTATTTCTCGTTTCTTGTTTACGCTTTTTTAATAGATAGAAATGAAATTACATTTGATAATTATTTCTTTTTACTAGTGCTTTTTTTATCCATTGAAAAAAGATATCGAGAAACATGTTTACGTTAACTTTTTCCTGTTTTCATTCTCTAAATTTTTTTTAATTAAAAAAAAATCAAAATTTTATATGAAATTTAAAATTTTTATTAAATATTCAAAATTGGTATGTTATTTATATTTTATAATCATGAATTTTATAAGTCAAGAATGATAAAATAATATTTTTGAAAAAAAAAATAGAAATAAGAACCAAAGGAACTAGAAACTTGATTTTGCTATGTTAAACAATACTCATGCACAATTTTAGAAATATTGTTTACGAGAAACCACGAATAGTTACGAAACACTTGAATTTCTCAAAAATTAAAAATGAGAAACGAGAAACAAGACACAAAACATTATCAAACGAGTAATTGATCAGAGAAATTTTTTTTTTCTCCTTAATGAAAAAAGAAAAAAAAAAGAAGAAATTTTTTTCATTTTTTGGAATTTAGTTAAAACTTAAAAATGGTTGCACAAAGTGTGGTAAGATAAAAATTAAATGATCAAAGAAATTGATATCTAATTAATAGACTAATAATGTCCTTAGTTTTTTTTTAATTATTAATAAGTTATCTTGTTAAATTGTTTCATTATGCCAAGCATGATGTCATGTCATTAATACAATAGTTTTATATAATTCTGTATAATTTTATTTGGAGTGTTACACTTCAATTTTTCTTTGATTTTAATGTGTAATTTCTACATCTAACTTGGTTAATATCAATCAGTACTTTCCCCAATTTGACTAGAATCAAATTACTTAATAATGTGACTAATTGATCAAACTATTAAATTATCTATTTAAGAAAACCCTCTTAAAATCGACTCTTAAATTTTAGATAACTAAATTTTTTCAATAGAGTCATCTCAATAAAAAATACAAAAAAATGACTCATTCGGTAATGCGTTCGTGTTTCTTTTTTTTCTTTTTTAATAAATAGAAACACAACTACTTTTATTAATTATTTCTTGTTTCTTCCTTTCTCTTTTTATTTAAAAATATTGCATCGAAATATTTTGTTTGGTAATTTTTATTGCTTCTCGTTCCCTAAAATTTTAAATTTAAAAAAGTAAAATGTTTATATGAAAATTAAATTTTGTAATTAAATATTTAAAATTTTATCTTATATTTATCTTTTCATATAATTATTATGTACTTAAAAAATTAAAAACAAAAGAATAAAAATGAAAAATTTATTTTGTTTTTTCCAAAACTAATTTCTTAAAAATGAGAAACCAGAAAAGGAAAAAAATAGTTATCAAATACTTGCAATTTTTAAAAGTTGGAAACGAGAAAGGAAAATGAGAATGTTGCAAAAAAGGATTCTTAAAATATATTTTTTCTGAGAAATGAGGGGTCCCTCTCTCTATATGTATGTATTGGAAAGAAAGGGGTCTTCTTCAATCAAAGTAATTTCTCTCTGTCTATGTATGGGGAAATTAGGGTTTTTCTTCAATCAAATCTCTCCCTCATGTATAGGAAAAATTATAGTATATCCTTAAAAAAAAATCCCCTAATCAAATTAGGATTTTCTCAAGTCACATATAAAGCAACTTCCAGTCTTCCATCAATCAATGACCTCTTGCATATATAAGTATAGGAAATTAGGAAGGAAAAAAAATCCTAATCAAATTAGGAGTTTCTCCTGTACTAAAAAAAATTAGGATTTTCTCCCTATAAATAATAAGTATGTAGAGGAAAAGTAGGGAAAAAAACACAAATCAAATTAGGGTTTTCTCTGTAAGTAAGTATGTATAGGATAATTAGGAAAAAAAAAACAATAATCAAATTAGGGTTTTCACTATAAGTATATGTACTATAGGGATCCATTTTATGGTCAGTTTAGTTGGAGAGAAATAATAGAACTTTCGCAGATGTCTCCAATTATTGTTTTAGCTTTCTCTTTACCTTCTAAGTCTATTTCTTTTTGTAACTACGATATCTCATCCGATCACTTAATTTGAGCGTTTTTATTTAGCATTCCTCTCTTGTTGTAGGAGAAAAAAACAATATTCCTCTCTCTCTCTCGTATGGCCTGATCTTGATGAAGCCACCATTATGTCCCACAATGTTTGAACTAATTGGATTTCTTACAAACTTTCCACATATATTTGATAATCCAAATGTTCCCCCAAATCCTGTGTCAACTCAAACTCCATATAATGCCCTCTAAATCCTCCACTATTTCTCAATCTTGACGTCCAAAAGTTTCAAATATCTCTTTCTTTCTCTCTCTTCTCTCTCTCGTCGCCCAAATCACCAAGCAGCTGGCTCCGCCTGTGGCTTTACAGAACTCCGTTCATCTCCAACTGGTCTGCACTCTCCTTCTCCTTCTTCTCCCAATTCAATCCCTCCATAAATGGCTTCTCTCTCCTTCTTCACTCCCACCTCCACCCTCTTCTTCTTCCCTTTTCCCAATTGTCATGGCTTCCTCCGGCCGCCACCCCGTCTACCGAGGCGTTCGCCGCCGCAACACCAGCAAATGGGTCTCTGAAATTCGCGAGCCGAGGAAGCCTAATCGGATTTGGCTCGGCACTTTTCCCACTCCTGAAATGGCTGCAGTCGCCTACGATGTCGCCGCCCTTGCCCTCAAGGGCCAGGACGCGGAGCTCAACTTCCCTAACTCCGCCTCCTCTCTCCCTGTCCCTGCTTCCCGCTCCCCGTCCGATATTCAGGCAGCTGCTGCTTCGGCTGCTGCTGCGCTCGGAGCGGCCGCCGCGGCCATGGAGGCTGGGAATTCTCATCCCCGTAACTATTCGTCGTCGGGAACTCATTATGGTGACGTCCGTGGAGCACGATATGATCAAGGGGAGTCAGGGAGTGAGTTTATTGACGAGGATTTGATCTTTGATATGCCTAACGTTTTAATGAACATGGCTGAGGGAATGCTCCTCAGCCCCCCTCGTTTCAACGTCCACGGCGGAGACAACGATGACGGAGACGACGACGGAGACCAAAACCTTTGGAATTTTCCCTAAAAGCACCAAATTATTATATCAACCTCCCACCATTATTATATAACTATAACAACAAATATATATATATATATATACCTGGTATATAATTTCATAGACCTTGTATATTCGTGTGTATATATATATATATAAAAGAGAGAGGTGCTGTTATATCGCACCCTTCATATTAATCTCTCGAATTATACTTCCTATTGATCCTCAGGTTCTTCTTCAACAATGAATTCAAGTACGTTTCTGCAATAGTCAAATCATGTTCCAAAAGAACACGAAAAAAGTGACCTTTTGCCAAGAATTTGAAGAAATAGCCAAGCAGAACCCATCGATTGTTTTCCCTTTAGAAATTTAAATCGAAACCCATGAGATGAACCCTAATCAACTGCAGCTCTTGCTCTTATCTTTTTCCTCGAAAGCTTATTCTTCGGAGACTCGAAAGGCCGCCATGGCCGAAAAATTTGGAGAGATCTTTGAGTATGTGAAGTATGAGTATTTGGAGAGTAAATTTTTTCAGCTGCGGCTGTGGTTTCCATTGAAAAGGAGAGCAGTCGTTTGGTGAAGAAACAAGCAAAAGCAAAGCAAGTTGGGAGGTTAAGTCAGTTGAAATAATGAGAAGTTTGATTGAACGAGGGACTTTCTAGGCATGTGTGGTTTGCATTTTATCAAATATTTTATGGTTGCTAAGATTTTAAATCGGATAAAATATATTTTATCGTCAACATCTATCTTACTATCTTACTGTTTACTACCACTTACTCTTTACTGCCACTAAAAAATTAACAGGTCATGAAAGAAATATTCTCTCTCTTCTATTTGTCAATCAAAATTTTAACGGCGATTCACAAAAGATAGGTGTCAGATTATTTGCTAATTTTTGTATAATTTAGTATAGGTGTAGATTATTTGCTAACTTTTGTATTATTTAGTATAGGTGTAAAAATTTGAACTTTTAATTTATAAATAATTATTAATACCTTGACTAGTTGAGTTAGATTGAAGGGGTGTGTAAAATTTTAGCCAAATTAATTATTGCCACTTGCTTTCCCATCCCACATTTCCATTGTTGGTATTTAGTCAAAATGATTCCTAACTTCAGGGTCCCACACCAAGATTATAAAAAATAAAAATTAATAAAAAATGGAAAAAAAAAATAAATTGCATTCTCTAGAACAATGTGAATACCATTGTGAATCCTATATTTATGGGTTTACATATATACTTGTTTAATTTTTGTAACACTTATCTTTTAATCTTCTAGTATTATTAAATATACCAAACCAACTTTTTTTTCTTTTTAAAAGAAAACACGACCTTTCATTCAAAAAATATATAAAAAAAACATCTCCTATCTTTTCTTTTTTTAGAGGTACCATCTCATTAAATGTAGGTAGGAATGGCAAAACTACCTGCCGGTACGCAACTCGATTGGGTAGGAGATTCCCCGGTTTGACCAGGGACAGCATCAAACCGGAGATTCCAATCGGGTTCCCCGGCAGGGACGGGGATTGGTCCCCCCACTCCGTTTAATTTTTTATTACTTTTTCTATTTTTTTATATAATAATATTAATATATATTAATTTTATAAATAATTTAAAATTAAAAAAAAAACTCAAACTAATACCCCATTTAGCCACTTTTTATTCACTTTTTATATTAATAATAACAAAAATTAATTTTAAAAAATTAAAAATTAAATTAAAAAATTAGAAAAATGTATTTATAACGGGGACGAGTTCCAGGGAATTCCCGCCCCATCCCTGCCCCCAAAATTTCAGGGACGGGGGCAGGGGTGGGGATGGCTCCCCGACCCCACCTTGCCCCGTCTGGTAACCACAGGTGATCCACAAGTAAGGGGCTGCCTGTCCCGTCCCGAATAGACGAACATCCCTAAAGGTAGGTGAGAAACATACAAAAGCGGGAGGCTTAAAGCGTTTCAATTAAGAGAAATGGTAGATATATATCATAATTACACAAGAGTTTTGATTTAGAGGACGATGAAGAGCTCTTATATCCTCCCAAAGATTAGTTAGAAAACTTTTATTTTTTTTGAAAAAATTAGAAAACTATTGTTGTCCGCGTGCTTGACTATTTCTCTCCAACCAAATATTCCTAAACATGGCTCCAAATTGCATTGCATTGCTCCATATAATGTCTTCTACTTCTCTCATCTCATTTTTCACTTTTTTTCCTTCCATAGAATTTGTTTCTATGCAAAAGAAAAAAAAAATGTAATTGGTTGACGTGTCACATTCACACTCTGATGAGCTAAGAAAACTGAGTGAATGGAATGTCTGCATAAGAAGAAACACTGACCCTCCACCTTCCTTTTACAATGGCTCCCAAAGTCATGCATCTATTTGATTATTGTCCCTCGCATATATATTCCAAAGTTATTACGCCTCAATTTAAAACTAAATTCTCCTGTATCCCTTTTATGTTTGGTTAGCTTCGAGAATTTTCAATGATAGTGTAAAGTTGTTCGAGGAATTATATTGATATCTTTCAAACTCTTTCGTTATGAATAACAAGAATCAAATATGTCCATGATTTTTAAATTTACAACCAAATTTGACATGTAATTAAGAATAATAATATATGTTATGTTTATTCATTTTAAGATGCACGTACTTTTCATGGGTGTCTTGCTTTTTTGATATGGCGCGTTCCTTAAAACTTACTTGATTGAAATAGAAAAAAAATATATTTCAAGGACAGAGTTATTTTAGGGGTCAGATTGATCCTAAGTCATTTTTATCTGGCAGAACTTTTGAAACTTCTAATTATATTCACATGATGAAAAGAAATGAAAAGCTAAACAATCATGTTTCTTTACTCTAAGTTTGGTATTGTTTGTAAGGGGTCCCTTACTCCATGAGGTGAAAAAGAGGGGTGGTTGGGGGTAATTTGAAAGTTTTTATAGGTACATAAAGAAAAAATAGATGTGTTTTTCATATAACTTTAAATCAAAGTTATGAGGAAATATGGAAGATGACCAAATTGTACACTTGTGTCGGGTTATATAAATGGATGTGCTTAAACAAGGGACGAGACCTTCGACGTGGAGGGCGAAAGAGAAGGAATAAATTGCAACTACGTCTCATGAACTTTTTTAATAAGGCAGTACGATCGTATAGATAGGAATTTATGAGTGTTTTCATAAGTATATGATTTGGTATTTTGTTGATTTATTTCTTGCACATTTAGAAGAGAGAGCACTGAATCATTTTCAGGAAAAAAAAATACATGAGCTTTTTTTTCATACAAAGAAGAGGTAAAATATATATATATATATATATATATACACTTGGAGCAAAGTACCTTTTTACCCCTCTACTATTTTTTTCCCAGAATGATAGCCAAATTTCATTGGACAGAGGCCTTTAACAAAGGGCCCTCTATTGGAGAGCTGCTGTCCTGTGATTCCCTTTGTTATTTTGAGAGAATATTTTATTTTTTAACTATTTTTCGAGTGGTTTATGTGCGTAATAAAGAAAAATGAAATAAAATTATATGATTCTCTATTAATATCATAGGAATTATTAATATCAATTTGGAGATGAAATGACACTACATAAATTTAAACTAGCCATATATATATATATACTCAGACAAATATGGAATTGTTTATGAGGTACATTTTTCACTTTTCGTCTCTAAGTAATTAGAACTTTATGTGTTAGTTAAATGTATGTACGTATGTATTAAGGGGTGGATTATTTGAATGACTTTTTAAGAAAATAAATAGTATTACCTGTGAGATTAGTCGAGATACACACAAACTATCTCAAACACTTACGAATATATATATTGTGCTTATATATATGGGGTAATATGAGTCTAAATGTTGTCTGAAATCCAAATGCTCAATTAAGATATTAGTGGCAATCTGAACATGGTTAAGGAGATAACATTATAATAATCTTCATTGAAGTTGAAGATTCAATTTCTTACTCTATAATTGTTGAACTAAAACAAATTAAGAATTGGTAGTCTATATATGAATCAATCGACAGGGTGTTGCTTATCTAAATTATTTAATTTCTTTCTATATTGTTTTAACCCTAATTAAACTTATGATATTCCAATTTCCCAATTAGGTTGTGTTTAATGCAAAGTTGACTTTAATATTAGTTTTTCTAAGACAAAATCATATGAAAAGATGAACTTTCTTAAAATATCTAGCCCCCACAAAATCCTACTCCACATCATAGATAGAACTTGGTTTTTCTTTTTATCTATAGACATCAAAACCTATTTCTAGACCATACAAATTGTGTCACATTTTTTTATATATAAAAATACCCCAAGTTGAGAATTTTAAACTTTTTTTTTTCCGGAAATTGGAGAAAGAGGATAGAGCAATCGTGAATTAAGTAGTGAAATGGAGAAAGTCAATTAGAGTTATAATTGCGATATAAAGATGATATAATTAAGCACCAAATAAAGCTTAATCATCACTCTTGTAGAACACTTGATTAATATGTGTGGTTTCATTACTTACCTCTCTCTCATGCTTTTGAGTTTTGGGTCTCTCTTTTAGAGTATCTAATATCTTAATGCATAGTTATAAATTTTCAAATAGATGGCCAAATTCTTATCTTCTAATTTTTTAGGAGAAAATAGAAAAAGCTTTCAAATCTTAACTTTTACACATGATATCGGAGGAATCACAAATAATATAAGTAGTTGCAGTTGTTCGACGAGAAATTCAATAAGAGAAATTCGAATTTATGAACTTGTATTGTATTTATGTATGTAGGTGTTACAATTAATCTCTAATATATAATCTTCTGATTAATTCTCTCAAATGTAAACTTTAATTCGAGTGCTTTTGAGCTTGTTCTCGAATCAATGAGTTTGTGCCTTCAGCTTCTAGCTAGCGTACGCATATTGAAGAATCTTTAGAGTTGGCGAAGTTTGTGGCTTGATGAAGTCTTCGGCTCGTTTGACGAAATTCGTAGCTTGATGAAGTACTTTGGTTTGTGAGGTTTTCGGCTTGTAGCTTGTGAAGTTCTTCAGTAGGTTGTTGCTTGGTGAAGAGAAGATTCATAATTCTTGA